TATCAATTTTGAGTGAATTATCTTCAGTAGTTACTAAAATATCGCAGTTTTCGTTTTTCTGAAAATTACCGTTATATGGGAGGTAGGCGTGGTTATTGTCCGATTTTTTAAATTTTCAGCCATTTAGTATGCTGTACTAAGGCCAACAACTGTGCCAAGTTTGGAAGAAATTGGTGCAGCGGTTACCAAGATATACACATGTAACCATAAGTGGGCGTGGCTACGCCCATTTTCGGGTATAAAAATTATTTATGGGCGGGACGAATTTCGCCGGGTCTGCTAGTTTTTTTTATATATGTATGTTATCGCATAACCTTTTACCACGTTAAGCGATTTCTATAATTCTTTTTTTAAAGATAAGGTGGTACCTCAGAGGCGGTCCCCTACTAATTCGATTTAGATGCGCTCATTTGATAATGGTCATATTTATTGTAATTTTGATTTTATTTTTTATTGTTAAAAAAAGTACAACAAATGAAAATTTGACATTATTTTGGCCGAAATGACGATTTTTTTGGGTAAATTGACGATTTTTCAGCGAAAGCTTTCGATAACGCTGATTGGGAGATGAAATTATGTGACAATTAATGAACTTATTACCAAAATAATAATTTTTATGGATTTTAACGCATTTTCGATAAAATATGCATTTTGTGTCATAATATGCATTTGCATATTTTTTTCTTGCCTAATCATCAGGCTCGAAGCATATAACATATCAGCATGCAGTACAATATTTATTTCTTTACAAATGAGGTCTAGAAAAGATCGAAATAATTAGAGACGAAATTTCATAATTTTTTTACCATTTTGTTAAACATTGTTTTTTTTTTAATTCACAACTGCAATATTGTGAGCTCTAATCTTCCGCAAACACGACTTTGATTCATATAGTGCAAGAAATTTCTGTCAAAATACTTTTTACTTAAAAAAATTAGCTAATTTCACCATTTACGACACCAGCATGCTGGTACAATCATAAAATTTACAAATCGTTTTGATGTCGCACCAGCAGCTGGTATAATCACACCACAAGAACATATACGGTCAATTGGCCGGCACCAACACTTGATGGCGGTCAATAATGACAAGCGAAAAGCTCGTTTTATTTGCCAATTGCGGCGAAAGTGAAACAGCTGTTCTTTGTTTACATTTTAATTGTTCTTTTTGACCGCCACTGCAACAGACTGGATAGAACGATTAAAATGTAAACAAAGAACAGCTGTTTCACTTTCGCCGCAATTGGCAAATAAAACGAGCTTTTCGCTTGTCATTATTATGTATTTCTCTAAATTACCGTTATATGGGAGGTCATTGGTATGTTCGGCCATTTGGTATGTTGTGCGAAGACCAACAACTGTGCCAAGTTTGGAAGAAATTGGTGCAGCGGTTACCAAGAAATACACATGTAACCATAAGTGGGCGTGGCTACGCCCATTTTCCAAAAATTTATAATATTCTTATTTTTCGTCTAAAAATTATTGTAAATATCAATTTTGAGTGAATTATCTTCAGTAGTTACTAAAATATCGCAGTTTTCGTATTTCTGGAAATTACCGTTATATGGGAAGTGGGCGTGGTTAAAGTCCGATTTCGCCCATTTTCAATACCAACCTACCTTGGATTAAGGGAAACCTACATACCAAATTTCGTTGAGATATCTCAATTTTTGCTCGAGTTATCGTGTACACGGACAGACGGACAGACGGACAGACGGACAGACGGACGGACAGACAGACATGGCTTAATCGATTTCTTTTTTCATCCTGATCATTTATGTATACATTTGTCTATATCTATCTCGATTCGTTTTGGCTGTTACAAACAACCGTTATGTGAACAAAATTAATATACCCTTGTGCACAAGTGCGCTCGGGTATAACAATTGTAGGGTTCTCCTAAAACAAAAAATAAATTAAAAAGTAATAATTTGAAATGTTATAAAAAAAATGTTACCAAAAGTATTTTTTTTGTTTTTAGTTTTTATAAAAATGTTGGGTATGCAGCTTTATAGATTACTAGATTTTAGTATAATAAAGTGCAAGTTGTAAGTCGCTAAGAGTTCGCGTTGATTTTTAATAACATAACAAACGCTTTTATTTCCCATTTAGCATGCAGATGTGCTCGAAATGTTAGCGAAAAAATTATTATTATGGAATTTTTTTGCAAACGTACACAGATTTTACCGCGGAGTTGCAACTTTTCATTTGACTGGCTGCGATTTCTTCAATTTTACATTTTAGAATTTTTCTGACCCGCGCGTAGAAGTTGCGCTTGTGGGTGATGCGTTTGCGGGGAGATGTATGGCCATTGAATTTATGGATGAACTAGCCAATGCCCGCTTGCTTCGCGGCACCTAATAAGATCTTTTGCGTTGGCCAATACAAAAAGAGCGTTTAAAAGCAAAATCGGTATGTAAAGTAAACATTTTTAGTTTAAATGAAACGAATAAAGAGCAGAATCCTCGTGATACATAGGGCAAGAATAGTAGCGGTGTGATACCATATCGAGTGCTAATCCCTTTCGATGTCATAAGTTTTACCGATGGTCTCATTTCCACCCGTGAGACCTCTGCCAAGCGTGCGTAACATTATTCTATGATCTTGCGACTTCAACATTGGTCCGTAAACCATGTAAGCCAATAAAAGTCCTTATAAGAAAACTAAAGAGCACATATGAGCGTTTTCAGTTATAGGAGGGCCAAGAGTCCTCGCCCCCCACAGGATGAAAAGTTTTTCCGTACATTGACTAAATGAGTCGTATGATCTCTTAAATATCGTTCAAATAAAGCCAATGATATACCTACCGTGTTCCTTTTTTTTACGGATGTCGTCGAATCTTTTCTTGTCAATTTGCCACTTTTACAAATTTCCTTAATATTTATGAACTGGTTTCTTTGAGTCTTACTGCTGTCCTAACGGCCGCCTCGAGCAATTTTGTCAATCGGAGGTAGGTGCAAGATCGCATTTAGGGTGTATGAGGCAAAGGTGGGCTTTCACAATGTTGCGGTCTTTACATGCATATTTAAACGAATCCTCCATTTAGCCATACAAAAAGTAAATTCGTCTAAAATGAATATAGGGGCAAAGCAGATCAAACCACGTGTAGGTTTCTATATATTTCGGCTGCAGCGCAATCCATTAGGTCCCTTTTCTGCAAAACCACTGCTTGTCACGAAATGAATACGCATTATGAATTTCAATCAGATTTTATAAAATATAGCAGGTTCATTTTTAGAAAACGAATTTTTCATCATACAGGTAGCTCACTTTGCGAATGTGAACGAAATTGGTTAATAAATACGACTTTTATAAGTAACTCTACTCCTGCGACACCAGCGTGTTGTCTAGTAGGCTATAATAGGACCATATATGCAAGGTATAACTTCCGACAATTTGACTGGTTTTAGAGTTTAGTCCGAACACCGAAAACGGCTATCATTTTATGTCTGTACTGAATGAAAAAATATCACCATGAAAGTTATAAACGTTTCGAATTTGCATTAACAAAATCGGTTCATAAATAGGGCTTTTATCGGGTCCGTTTTTCGAAACGAACGTTTTTTGAACGAAATCGGTTTAAGAATACGACTTTTATAAATAAGTCGACTCCCGCGCCACCTAGCGGGTCTATTTTTGGTAAACGTAGTTTCCATCATGCTGGTAGCTTACATTTTGAATATAATATAGAAGATATAGTATACATATATAAATAGGATTTTTATAAATAACTTGAATCCAGCGCCACCTAGCGGGTTAATTTTTCGCATACGTATTTCCCATAATGGTGGTAACACACGTTTTGAGTTTGAACGAAATCGGTTCATAAATACAACTTTTATAAATAGCTCGACCCCAGCGCCTCCTATCGAGTTTTCTGCTAGCCTATAATACGACCGTATATGCAAGGTATAACCTATGAAAATTTTACTGAAATCTATGCAGTAGTTTTTGAGTTAACTCCGAACAACGAAAACGGCTATTATTTTATATATATAGATAAATAGGTTTAATCAATGACTTTAAAGAGTTGAATTCTTGTAAAAATTACATAATATTACTCTATCGATTGTTTTATAAAGTTTTTGTTTATGTGTTTAAAAAATGCTACGATCTTGGTTTTAAACTACGTATACTTCATTAAATGTTCATGTTTTATTCGAGGATTTATTTATGTAAGTTAACAAGAAGATGTAACTACATCAATAACTATGTTCGCTTAAGTATCCGCATCGAGGTACTTAAGCAGGTTGTTTTAAGTACCCAACCCGCCTAAGTACCTCAAAAAGGTGACATTTTTCGTGAGGTAATTAAGCGGGTTTTACTGTAAATGTATTATTTGTGCGACGAATCAAATCATTAATAAAATTTTTTGTGATTCGATTCGTCGGAAAAATTTAAAATAAAACTTAATTGTGATTTGATTCGTCGGACAAATAAAAAATTAAATTTATTTATGATTTTATTCGTCAACCAAATAAAAAATTAATTTTATCCGTAATTTTGCAATAAAAAAAAACTTTTTGTAACGGTTACACGATTTTCGAGAGAATAAAATGTATTTTAAATCACCCTCGTTAGAAACAGAGTATAATCGAATGACTGTAACTGCATACCTAGGAGTCCGTTATATCCCTTCGTGAAAATTGGGTATTATAAAATTTGTTTTGCTTGTGTATTCTAACGGTTTATTTTAACCCTTTAAAAACTAATTGTCTATCCATTTGTCCTTTCCTGTTTTAATTCTACGACAATTTTTAAGAATTTCATTTGTCTTTCACAAATGTCTTTCAGCACTCTTGGTCATCGCATACCGGAAGTACCAGTGCCACTTTTTAGTGTTTATCCAGCAACGAAGCACGCCATAACAGCGCTCTGCCAAACACTGCGCCAGGAAATTCACTTCCTAAAGTTAAATATTAAATTAACAGTAAGTAAATTGCATTCAATGCTGAAATAAACTTTTATCACTAACGTTACACATACTACATATTGTACATATGTATGTATATACACACCAAGGTCGCCAACTTACAGGGAATTGCACGATTTGTGAGTAACTCAAGTTTGGGTGGGGAATAGAGGAAAGGAGAAATTTTTTAGGGGAATTTGATGTTAACAGATTCTTCCAAATATTTTACTATCTGCATATGTATGTATTCCTATATCATTTTTTCTGATACGAGATAAACACGAAGCGATTGGATAAAACTAGAGAAAAATTGTGTAATTTTTATAGCCATGGCTTATACATTTTGGAAGTCACTGAGTTTTGTTGACTCGAAATTTGTACCGAGAATGAGTTCAGCTCAATATAAAAATTCCGCTATGTAACTGTCCAAATGTGAAAATCTGTACAAATGTGCAAATCGTGTAATCCCTGCTTTAGTTTTCAGATTTCTTTGCTTCAACAGCAGGCTCCCAGCTGAGTAGAGAGTACGTGGCCGCGTTTTGTTGGAACGTTGTCTACTACTATCAGCGTTGCCACAGACAAATTATTTTTCCTACCAAAATTGCCTACCATAACCAACCAAAACCTACCATACATTTTTTTGAATTTTAATATTTGTTTTCAATGTCAAATTATTAAAAAAAAAACATAGTTAACATAACATTTAGTAAAACTAAAACACAACTAGATTATTAAAAACAAATTAACTGCGTATAACGATTCATTTTACTGTACAGACTTATCCATATGTACATATGTCTCTTTACACATAAAAACATATCGTCACTAGATACGAATAAAGACGCGAGCTCAAAAGTTGATAGCGAAAAAAGAGGCGTAAAAAAATTTCGGCGAAGAAAGACTCTTAATATAGGTGACGGCAAATAAAGCCGCGTTAACCTCTTTGACAGCGAAGAAAGACCCATAAACTTATGTCCGCGGTCAACTATATTTTCGAGTGCCACAGTATTCCCCAGAACTCCCCAACGAGTTTTTCCGAGCTCTTTATTCGTGTCTAGTGACGATATTATATTACTAGTGTTCGCCCAGCGGTTGAAATTCAACCGCTAAAATTAAGGATAGTTTATGTGAGTTGAGTTGTGCTGAAATAAAATTTGTTGGAATGGGTTAAGTGGAGGGGAGTTTAGCTTAGTACTTAGCATAACATAACATAGAATAGCATTAGATTCAATAACATAACATATGTAGCATAACACATCACAATATAACACGCACATTCTTCAGTTGTATTTCCTTTTTATCCCTATCACTTTGTTCCTCTCTATCTTTGTCTCTATCGCTTTTAATGTTTATGTTTATGTTTATCTACACCTTCATGTTCATGTTCATGTTCATGTTCATGTTCAAGTTCATGTT